ACACCTGAAAATAACAAACAGCAGAAATGACAATATCATCACATATTTGTTTACGTGGCCCTCAAAAATATTACCCGTATTAAGGTGTTGCCCTCTCAACTCTCCTCTTCTCGACTTTTGGGTACAATAACCAGAAAACCGTACGATAAAAATTATTACAAAATATTTACACGAGAACACGCCCTTAACCTGACTCATTTGTGCTGCCCAAGCCTTAAATTTAATTATCGCCACCCTACGAAGTGCCGTTATCATTCAACTAGCTTTTATCAGCTGATATACGTCATATTTTAAAGCGATATTTTTATACACACGAACTCATTGAAGGGATTCATTTTAATGCAATAAGCAAATTTCGCTAATACATTGCTCTGCACATGACAAATTACACATCATATATACATCTACCGCATACATACATATGTATATATAGACATGTATTAGAACAATGTAGACTGTTTGGAATACCTTTAATTTCTTTGTGCGGCTCTTTGTCTGTAACTTTCCCAAAAATGAAACAATGTACCCGACATATAATTCAGAGTTCAGCGGTAGTCCGTGGTTTCCTTTTTTTTTACAGATATATGTATATATGTACATAAGTATGTACGTATAATCTGTTAAGCAGACTTGGAAATTTTTGGATAATTGAAAAAAATCTTCGATTTCGTAATAAAAATACTGCTTCGTAGTCAAATACTTTATTTCTCTCATTCTCCTGTATATACCACTGTAGGCAAAAATAAAAGACTTTTCAATTTAAATTTCGGCCAAAACCTGTGCACCGAAATATTTTTTTTCTAGGGTGGTCTGATTGTTAGTGTTTAGTATACGCTTGACTCTCCGAATTTTTATGTTCAATGAAATTATTCAACAAAGAAGTTTCATTAAATTTTGTGTAAGGAATTAAATCACTCGTACCGAAACTTTCAGAATTTCGGAAAAAGCGGTTATAACACAAATTATTCTAAGAGCATCGAGAACGCGTTGTCGCGAACCACGTTCAGGACGGCCATTAAGATCAACTGATGATCAACACGTCAATAAAATAAAGGTATTGGTGCTTGATAATCGCCGATTAACAGTCAGAGATCTTACTGGCAGCGTTGGAACATCGGAAGGATCTGCAAAATCATTTTGAACAATCATTTGGGTCTAAGAAATGTGAAAGCACGTTTAGTTCCAAAAACGATTTTTTCGAAAAAAGTGTCTCGATAACATCTTTGAAACAAAGCTTTCGGACTACCAGGATGTAATGAAACTTTTTATGTATTACTAGCGATTAGCCTTGGATCTATGCTTACGACTCCGAAACAGACGATCCGAAGAAAACCACGTCAAAAGGCAGGTAAAAAATTAAGTTAAGGTTTGACAGTTTTCTTCGATTATCGAGGTGTGGTGTATTCCGAATTCCTTCCGATCAGCCAAACTGTCTTCAAGGAATATTATGGATCGATAACTTTTGAATTTTGCAGCAAATTTCCAACCAATATCGTGCCAGAACCACTGACTCAAACCGAAGCCATTATTCCGGAAATTAACTTTAACAACTGTTACGAGGATTGAAAAAAAAAGGTTAGCACAAGTGTATTAGGCCCAAAGGGGATTACTTTGAGGGGGAAAATATAGATTTTGAGGAATAAATTACGAATTTCAAAATTATAAAAAAGTCTTACTATTTTTGCCCATTGTAGTATAAAGAGTTCCCTCTGCGGCGATACTGGGATGTCCTAAGTTTTTAGTAAATAGGAAAACCGTTAACTTCACTCATTAATAGAATAGCAATTTGATCCATCCTTAAGGATTTTTATTGCGAAATTTTTTATTTGATTCCACATGTTAGAAGGTTATGAGCTAAACAGAGTGCCCATAGATGTCACACGCTATGTATGGGTCGATTCGGGGCATATGAGTTAGAGATATGAGAAGAAGGGAGCGGCAGCATTGGATTTAAGATGTTAAAAATAGTCAGAATTTTCGGAAAAAAAAAACAATTTTTTGAGTAAAAGACAATATTATACACATATGTATATGTGAAATTGGAAATTTTGCCGATGGTAGCGTTTACAGAGAATTTGGGCCTTACAAATAACATCATGTGAAGCCGAAGTATCAAGGGAATTGTAGTGTAAATAAAATTGTGTCTACTCTCAAGGCTTGGGATCTCCTTTCTTATTGAACAGACTTGGTATAATTTTTTTAGTTTCTTCGATTATGGTAAGTTTTTTATTCGACGCGCTATTCATTTGTATAAATACTTCAGCCACTTGCTTGATTCAGCAAAATGCAGTTAAGTACACGTTGGTACTTACAATAACGTCTAAATACTTGTATATTTGGTATCGGAATGCAAAAAAGTTATAAAGTATTTTCAAGCTCACAAATCGGTACTCTTCTAGTATCAGGTTCAATGCGATAATCATCCAATACCGATTTTTTATTATAATATAAAGCATATTCTCACAAACATCTGTACTTAAACACTTGAACATCTTATAATGAGTAGATAAATTTAGCTTTACAACGAAATTTTTCCACTTTAATCAAATAAGCTGTTATAAATGATAGGCTGGAACTCGCAACGTACTTAGGTAACCTTTCTATAAAAGTAAGTGAGTATACTATATTATACAAGTATGTTTGTGAGCAGCAGGTCGCTTATCAATGTTTATAATGAATTTACATGAAATCTCCTAATCAAAAACTTCTGAAAATAAGAGTTATATATGTATGCCATATAAAGAAAAATCATAGTAAATCACCACCAATGGGTTCTGGGAAGCTTTGTCAAATTTGTATTAAAACAAGAGGGCGATTTTTACCCGATCACAACGTTCACATATAATATATTCGCGATTCAACTAAATTTAGAAAGTGGCAATTGAGCAGACTCTTAAATCCCTTAAACTATCACAATCTACTATAAGTGGCTTTGGTAGCAGTTGTACCAATTTAATTATTACAATCTTTTTAATTTTAAGTACAATTTGTTCTGGCTTTCACAAGAATATTTTGATATGAGTGCCGTGAGAAAGACACTTTATCGCTCAAAGGTAAAAAAACATGTAACCAAATCAGGCTATATAAATATAAGGAAGGCGAGTTCGCATTTTGCTATTTAGAAAACTCCTGCCCACTAGACTTGCAAAATGTGTTTTTGTATTGACAACTCTTGATGTTCTTCAAATCTGCTATAGGTGAAAATGCGACATATATCTCTATGCTAAGACCAACGAAGGAGAAAAAGGTAGTTCAGGGACAATTCCCGGTCTCGGAGTTTTAAGGGGCCCTCAAACCTAATCATATCTCTAGAAGAGGTGAAATAATAACAATAGTTCGTAGTAGATGCCCATTTAGATCATAAATTTTATCATATATCATTTAATATATTTTTCTACAATATAAAAAAAATATATACTATATATACGAGTATATAGTAAACTCTAGTATAATAAATACGAAGATAGAGTTCGGTTCTAACAAATTTAGCTCTCCCTTACTTTTAATTGTTTTCATATTTAAATAACCTTTTTTGACAGCACAGAGCACATGCTCAAGAGTTTCGAGTATCTGGCTAATGTTGAGCAAATATTTTGGGGTGGTTTGATTGTCTGGTTAACAGTGCCACATGTTTGCTTTGAACTTTACTTTAATGGTAGCAGACAATAAACCAGAAAAATATATACGAAATTATTTTATGACCCAGGCTCCTAATGATAAGAAACTGTGCGCCAAGTTAAATGCGCATTTGCTTGTTTTTTTTTTAATAATTTACTTATCGTTGAGAAGAAAAATTCCCTTGGAGAAAGCATCACAGATCCTATAAAGTCTATACATAAATAAAAACTAACGATCAATTTGCCAATTTAGCCATGTCCGCTGTATGTCCGTTCGTTTGTGTTTTTGTACTACCCAGTGTAGTCCCTCAGTTTTTGAGATATCGCCATAAAATAAAAACACACTTTTTTCTCCTCAAAAACCTGCCCATAAGTCGAAATCACCGATATTGGACGACTATTGCGAACAGCTGCCTCACAGACTTACAAACAGAACGAGCGGAATCAAGTCCTTGTATTGGAAACTTTTGTATTTGACCAGATATCTTCGCAAAATTTGGCACGGATTATTGTCCAAGGCCACAGTGCACTCTCCGCAGAAAGTGTAATAGTGATCGTATCACTATATCATATGGCTGTTTACCATATAGCAGAGTTTACCAAGCAATCGCCTTTTAGATCAATAGACGGACGTACGCAAAGACAGACAATTAATAAATACGGTCTTAAGGTATGCACACACTTATTTGATTGAAAAAGGCTGAACCCGGGGTAGTTTGTTTATTTAAGCATTCGCAAGTGTTCTATAGAAACTTGATTTGTTAATTTATGAGTCACCAATTGGGACGCTTGCTATTGATACACGAGTTATTTATGTACATACGAAGCGCTTTCTTAGCAACTGACCTTGAAGACTGCCGAATTCCATACTGAATTATTAACTTTAGTTGATTAACTCTTCATTATAAATTACTCTATACTCCCAGCTCGCTTGTCATATTTACAACCGTCCTATCAGCGCGGGCTGGATTGCTCCATTTATCAGGCAATTAATGCTTCGCGCTACCAAAAGCTGATTTATGAAAATTCTCTTATTGCCTTATCCATTCATAGAAGTGCAAAGCAGTGTTTATTTACTACACCTTCTACACACACACGCACACTAGCACCCATTCAATCGACAATACACGTGGCTGTAAATTCCAATTATCAATGATTATGACCATACACACATAGGAGCAGTCTTCTGAGTACCTATTTGTGTGTGTGCTTTGGAGTCTCCACAAAGTCTGCTGTGAAACCAACGCTTTCAGCGGAAATGCGCACCCAACTACCGTTATGTCACAGAGCTTAATACCCGAACACTTTCGAATCATTTCTTACAATCCGAGAATTAAGGCGTTTCAAATATAAGCTGTAGAAACCGTTACATTTGGCTCTCACCTCTAACTGCACGATAATGTCCTGGTGTTTTATTTAGAAATTACCAAGCGCGCTATAACGTTAGATCTGCAATCACGGCGAAGTGACACCATTGCTTGATGCGCCCACCTTTTATCTCGGTTGCCGTTAGTTCTCGTCGGCGATTCACTGCTATCTATCTTGGAGTCTCGCAATTAATTTACACAAAAGACACACACTCACGCAAAATGTGCGTCGTGTTGCCGCATCTTATCCACTGCAATCAGTGATAATCCTCGGCAAATTAATGCCAAATCTCATTTTCACTGGAATATCAAACACTTGCCTTTTTAATTACTTTGTATGAGGTTTTTGTTCTTGATTGCTTTCCGTTTGTGTAGAAGCGAGTTTCACTTCAACGAATTTTCGATTTCATTAATTGCGAATCGAGATCAAATAATTTGCGGTTGAACTCGCTCGGAAGAGTCGCGTCAGTAAACTGTTCGCCAGCGAAGGCATTCTTTCGTGTGAAGCGAAGGTGGAAAGGTGTCGTAACGTCAAGTGGAACTCTGATTATTTCAAATTGAGTTTTACGGCGTTACGTGCCATACAATAACAAACACACATGTCACTGATGTCGTGATAAGGAACACACACACGATTAAGAGAGATAAGGCGAGTGAGTGGAGTGCTGCCATCAGTTCGTCTATATTTTTATATGTATGTATGTATGTGAACAATAACTGAAATCAACACCAACACCAAAGTGGCGTATTAAGCGTTAACTCTACACTAAATCCCTGCAGAAAGTTATCCATATTGAATATATACATACAATGTATATACATAACTCGGACCTCAAATTGAAATCCCAGCAAAGTTTTTTTATTGCCTTATCTTAAAAACCTAGACCATTTGTAACTAGTCTAAGACTTTTACTTTACGTTAACGTACGATATCGAAAAGCACGGAATTATTTGTAAAATGTCCGAAAGATCTACAATTTTTTACTAAAGTTATTTTTGAGATGAGTCTGAGTTATCTTCATCCCGAAGGCTTGTAAGAGCTACCCCGTCACGGCCAAAGATTTTAAATATATCAGCCTCTCTACTTTCTTACTCAGAAGGTTTGAGAGGCTGATAAATTGGTGAACGGTTGTTCTGAAGGTAGGTCAGTGATATTGTCCCGCAAACTATCGTGTCATGGCGTAAGGAAGATATAATGTTCAAATAATTCTATGTTGACACCATTCTAAGTATCGACGGAACTTTCAATAACGTCTTGTGAAGCAGTTGCAACAGCCGTGCTGTTTTGGGGTTGAATCGAACCTCAAACAGCTTATTCTCAGGAGTTCTGCCGTCGAACCTAATCTAGCCTTAACCTTCTCCATAAATTTGCTGTTGCCAACTGTGGTTTATTAGAATGATTTCTAAAAAGTGTACGTGACGCCTCTAGGATCAAAGTCATGAGGATGCGCCATTTTTTTTTACACCTGTCTCTCCACCCCCCTCTAATTATTTTAATTTTTAATATTTTTTTGTAGATGTCAATAAAAACACCATAAAAAAATGGATAGTAAAAATATTTTTGGTTACTTTTTAATAAAATGCAAAAAACTGCCCAAAATTTGATTTCTAAAGTAGAATACGCCCTTAACTTATAAACTACTTATTAAAGCTATACCAATCGGTAAATATTGTGTACCCGAAAAGTCTTTTCGTACTTCTAATTAAAAATCAATTTATTTTTTTTATAATAGGTTGTCAAAAAAGTCTTGCGGTATTTTTTTTCTATAAACGGTTTGATGACTCATGCCCAGCTCTTGACCGATGCTACGGCTGCTACTATGCC